TTATTATTATTATTATTATTTGGTACCGGGAATCAAACTCGGGACCTTGTGCTTGCAAGGCAGGCGCCAGCACCACTGAGCTAAATCCTCGGCCCAGATCTTAGTTTTTTTTAAGACGGATTCTGTGGGTTTTGGATCAGCACCTACCTCTTCAGCAACTCACTGGCTCAGACCTGCGCGTGTAAATTAGTGCCCGGCTCTGGGGCGGCTCATCCAGTTGGAGTGACAAGTCCACATCCCAGTGTGTGCTTGGCCTCCCAAGAGCCTGCTGGAGAGCCCCGTGGAGTCTCATCGAGCGCTGGCGCTCTCAGCATTAGCAGCGTTCAGCTTATTTCCTACAGTTCCAGCCTGCTGCGGGCAGGGGAGGTGGCGCTGCACCGTCTGTGGAGATTTGAGTTGCTTCATTCTGTTCTCACTGGTGAAATTGCCAAGTCACGTGGCTTGGGGGCTGCTCTGGGGCAGCGTTTCTCAGGGATGCCCTTTGTTATTTCAGCGGTCATCTCTTCCCAGCAATGATCAGTTTTCAGATTTTTGTTACTTCTTTGTTCCTTTCCCCCAAATACCAGGGATATAGCAATCGTGAGGAAATAACAGGAAATCTTAACATCTTCCAACGCCAGGTGCGTGCTGGGTAGAAAATGGCACCTATGGCTGTGTGGAGGTAGTCCAGCCTTTCCCAGCCGCCGGGCCGTGTGTGATGAAAATCTTGGCGGAGAGGTGTCACCGACACTATTATTTCTTGAAAGAGACTGAAGGACCCGCATCTTTATGATCGGAAAGCATCCCGTTTTGTTGTCTTAGTTCTTTGATGTTGCCAGGAATCACTGAACTGTGAGAAGCAGAGAGAAAATTCATATTCCACCAAAAATACATTTTTGCTCAATAAAGAAAAAGCAGTATTGGGGTAGGACTTTCTGCTTACGGAGCTGGACACAGACAGAGGTCAACAATGTGAGCATCGCCAGGGCTGCCCAGGTGGATGCTGCATCCCCTGGCCAAGCCCTTTCGCAGCTTACGTGGTCAAGAAAGAGCTCCGAGTGTTTATTTTTCACTGAGTGAGCTGGCACCAGGTTGCCCGAGTTATCTGCAATGCTAGTGTGGTTTCAGCATTGCATTCACTTGGCTGAGGAACTGCTGCCAGATTTTAATTGGAACCTACACATGAAAAAGAGAGACTCTTTTGGCTGTCTATAAATAATCACAACACAGAGGAAGGGTAGCAGCTATAGAGTGAGTTATGGAACTTCCCTTTGACATCTCCAAAGTCTTTTTACTTTTCTTTCTTTTTCTCTCCCACCTCATCAGCTCTTCCTGATACTTCCTACCTCTGCTTCTTTGTACCTAGAATTACCTCCTAATCTAGGCTTGCAATTCTCTCAGCATGATATTTGCTCACTTCTGTTTTTCTTCAGTATCAGGGTGTAGTATTTGCCTTCATTTTCAAAAGTTCTCATATGAATGATTTAAAACTTCATTTAGGGTAAGATATTGATCTAGGTTCTTAGCTCTATGGGATGGAGCAGCCTGGAGTACTGACCTTCCCGAACGGGTGTTCTTTACCTTTCCCCTTCTCAGAGGGTGAGTCCTGCATGCATATGTCGCTCATCCTGACAGCGAGCCCTGGAAATCAGAGGCCACACGAGATCTTTAGTGCACATGCGTGATGCTGAATGGGTCACTACTAGAGCCTCAAAAATCACATATTTCCTGTAATATGTGGAGATTGTATCGCTTATAATACTCGACCTGTGTAATAGTACCTATAAAAATATGTTGACTGACAATAAATTAACATTTAAAGATCTTCAGGCAGACGTGGGGGTCCTAATCTTTACATAAAGCATGGGTTAAAGGTTATGCATTTAATGTTTGGCAACTTGAGGCCATTTGACTAAAACCAGCACATTAGGGTATTCAGACTACCAGGATGCAGCATTTATCCAGGAAGGCAGTTGTGCTAGAAAATGATGAATAATCTACATGCATATCCTCACTTTGGGCTCTGTATTCAAGGTTTACCAAGACTAAGATAGTCTCCTGCCAACCAAAAGCTATAAGCTATGTATGGGTTGATCAAAATATAGAGTGAATGTTAAAAATTTTAACACTTACTACAGTAAAAGATACATTGCTTTAACACACCTCAAAATACTCTCTTTCACTTTGAACACATTTATCCCACCATTCCTTCCACTTTCTGAAGCAGTTCTGGAAGTCCACCTTCATGAGTGTCTTTACCAGGTATGATCAACAGTTCAGTGAATGCTGCTGCCCAGTGTAATCAAACAGAAAGATAGGCTCCTAAGAACATCACAGTGTGTCCTCATCCACCTTATTCACTGGATCTGGCACCTGTGACTTCCGGCTCTTCCCCCAAATCAAAATGGCCATGAAAGGGAAATGTTTTGGATCCATTCAGGACATCGAGGCAGCCAGGACAACACAACTAGAGACATTCATGAAAGAGCACTCCAGAGCTCCTACAGAAAGTGGCAAGGAAGTGTGGGATAAGTGGGATAAATGTGGTCAAACTGAGGGAGAATATTTTGAGGGGAGTGAATGGTGAGGTGTCGTTTACTGTAATAAAGTTTTAAATTAAACACTCACTGCATTTTCCAGTCATACCTCCCATGCACCCCCACACATGAGAGGGTATTTAGAGGTACACCCAGATGGAGACTCAACAGAGAGCGGTACCCTTCCTGGGTAATACACAACCAACAGCAGGTTCTTCTCATTCTGCCCATTTACGAAGACAGACTTCCTAGCAGTGCACAGTTGCAAGGGGCTTACATTCTGCACGCAGAGCCCAGGGGCACAGTGTTTCTCCCCGTTGGCAATGGAGACCCTGTTGGAAGGCACAGAAAATGAGGAGACCTGGACACTGTATCTGGATAATGAAAACAAGGGTCCACAAACAACTTATTTAGCTGCCAGTGGTTCACACGCCACCCACTTTTACTGTGGTGTACTTGTGCTGGAACTTTACGGCATGGCACTCTCATGAGCAAGTATGCAGGTGCACAGGGCAATGGAAAAGTCAGCTTAATGCTCCCACCTGGATCAGACCCATCATTTTCAACATTGCAATCTTTTCGGTGTCTTTCTACCATTCTAAGTTAAAGAACTCCTACAGGTGTCACTGTGTGGGTGGACGGGGAAGGCTCGGGATCCACAGTGGGAAGGTGGCTGAGCAGCAGACCTCCCAGAAGGCTGCCCTGAAGAAATTCTTTCTTTCTTTCTTTTTTGCTTTTTCTTTCTTTCTTGGTTGGAACAGTCCAAGTTTTCTCACCCTAAGAGGTATCCTTTGAAGCCTTAACCTCCAGTCCCTCCAAACGTGACTGGGTTTGGAACTTGGCCTTTTAAAGAGGGGGCAAAAGTAAAGTGAGGCCATTAGCGTGGGTCCTGCCCCAATCTACCTGACATCCTTAATCAGAACACAAACACATACAGAGGGAAGACCGTGAGGACACTGGGAAAGATGGCCGTCTGTGAGGTGACAGGAGAGAGCCAGCAGAAACCAAGGCTGTCTGAGTCTTTGACCCTGCAGCTGCTAGAACTGTGAGAAAGTGAATCTCTGGGTCTGAGCTGCCCAGCCCATGGTGCCTTGGCATGGCAGGCTGAGCTCATGCTGGGGAGGCTCTGCTTCATCTCTACTCGCTCAAGGCCATGGCGGCCACTGGGTGGAAGGTCACTCAACGGGGCTGTGATGGCTGCACGGCTCATAGCCACCAAGGAAGAAGGCAGGTTAGGATCCCCGGATCCGACAGTCCCTTTGGTAGCCTGGACATCCAGGTAAGGCTGGGATTGGCAGGAGTCACTGGGAGTGAAAAGGAGCCTCGGATTTGTGGGTTTCTGAGGACAGCATCCCCCTCTGCCCCCATCTCCTTTCCCTTCACAGCTGCCCTCCCATCCTTCGGAGGACGTTTCTGATTTTGCTGGCACCCACTCAGTGTGAGCCATCTCCTTCCTCATGCATGTCTCTTCATCTGAGTGCTCTTGGGGTTCAAGGACAGCGTATTTGAAAGACAACTGACCTGTTTTAATGACTAGGTCTCTGGTCATGGTCATCAGACTTTGCTTGCCTCAGAATCACCTGGAGCTCTGGTAAAACACAGATTTCTGGGCTCCATCTTCAGATTCAGCCGGCTCAGGTTGGGGCCTGAGAATCTGCATTTCTGAGTAATTCACAGGCCATGCTGGTGCTGCAGATCCTGGGCCCATGGTTTGAGAACCACTCATCTTGGGCACTGGGGGAAGAAGTAGATTACTAGTTCCCCTTTCTCTTGTTCCAGCTCCAACTAACCTTGGGCCACAGAGCAGACAGGGAAAATTGTAAGGTATTTGTATGTGTATTTTAATGAGGCCTTAATTGAAGGAGATGAATCTCAGAGGGCATCAGAAAAGGATGCTTTGCAGTGATTAAAATTTTGCTCCATTGAAGGTCCTGAGGAAGCCAGCTGTCTCTAATAAGAAGACATTCTCTAAAATTCCATTTAGTATTCTTTGTTGGTCAGTGAGGAGAAAACATACAAACACCCCTCCGTATTCAAGGGCCATGAGTCTAGGACCCCCATGGATACCAAAATCCAAGTATGCTCAAGTCCCTTGCATACAATGGCATTGTGTTTGGATATATATAACCTATGCATGTCCTATATATGATCCATAATCTTTGAATCACTTATAATAACCTAATACACTTCAAGTGCTATGTAAATAGTTGTTATACTGTATTGTTTAGGGAATAATGACCCAAAAATATGAGTTTAGTACAGGCACAGTTTTTTTCCTAAACATTTTTGATCCATAGTTGTTTAAATTGGCAAATATGAAACCTATGGATACTTAGGATTGATTATAATTCAATATTTAAATTTAAAATTTTTTTTTTTTGGTACTGGGGATCGAACTCGGTCCTTGCACTTGTGCAGCAGGTGGCGAAACCACTGAGCTAAATCCCCGGCCCTCGATATTTAAATTTTTATTAATACTTTTCTTTACTTACAAATGTATCCCTAAAAAACCTTGGAGGGAAGGAAAGTATAGATCTATGACACTGACTTTTAAAATAGTGATGATCCCTAAATTCACATAAGTATTTATTCCTCAACTTCGAAAAATTGAATTTACATTGAGCCACTGAGACAAGAAGAGTCAGACCCTACTGTAGTGAAATTGAAGGAATGGTTCGAAGTGTTCTGTTTTGTAAGAGTTGCATCAGTATCTCCTGAGAGACTATTGATTGTAACTTGGAGGTATTTTATATTATTAGAGCTTTTGTTATGAAAGTGAGCAGAATGCAACTGTCGAGAATTTGTGTGTCTGGGACCCTGCATGTCGGTACAGTCTCCATTGCTTCTCCCTTCTGCACTGGCCAGGAGGGCAGTGTATAGACACAGAAGCCGCCTATCAAAAGCTGGCAACAAGAGTGCCCTCTGCCTCCCCACGTTCACTGAAGGTCTTTTGGTTGTAAGTACAATTTCCAAGTTCAGCAAACAAGCCAAAACAGAACAGAAATTAAGGGAAGAGGAAGTGGAAAACTCCTGTTACATCTAATAACAAGCAAATAAGCAAATCAGGCTTAGCATTTCTGGGGCCAAGGAATTCCACCAAGATTTTGGGGACCTTCTTTTGTAGCATGACCACTGAGACCACATCATCTGACACCAGGAGCCCCCATGTTGTATTCTCCCTCCACACTTGAAAGTTCTTCAGGTTGGGGGTTCTAAATATACTCATTTCTATCCTTTACAGCTGAAAAACTACAAGGCAGTGAAGCTTGTTATTACAACTAGATTTGTTTTGTATCAGTACAATTATGGTGTAAAGGGAGAAAGATCCAAATAGATTGAGATATCTAGAAATAGCTTTCATGTAATAATTTGTAAAATCCCTC